ATCTATGCTATGATTGGTTGCTGTGGGTTTAGGGGGAGGTACTTTTTTTCCCGCCTTTTTCTTCTGTGTGTTCTGTATGTTGTTTGGATTTACCTGATGATGTTCCTGTGTTGCTTGTCTGCTGTAAATATAAATGTTAGATATATTTATTTATATAAAACTGTAAGTTTGTGTCAGTGTTTCTGACTTCCTTTGGGACACCTGCTGCACAATTCCCTGACAAATATAAACACTCGGAGAAGCATTCTGACTTTTGACAAAGATTACAAGAAAAATGGCACTGCAGCTCAGTAGGATCTTAAGTTCAGCATGTGAACACAAGTATCCTCTGGCAGCATCAGCTCTTGAAATGCTTCAGAAAGCACGCAATGAGAGAAATTTGCATGTAAACCAACCTCCCCCGAGGAACAACTATTCTTTCTGCACAAATGCCTACACAACAGCATGCCCAGCCCACCAGCATCAGATGCAAATTTCCAATAAACTGCACAGCTGGATGGAAAATACCTCAACAAAGCTGCTGAAAAATGATGCAGTTAATGATCATGGATGCTAACTTCAGAGTAAACAAACACCAGCATACCATACATAACCTCAAGGAACAACTGGAACAAACCATGACCCCAGTACACATAAAAATGGTGACAAACACTATCAAGATTACATCTCTAAGACAAGCTGAAAAGAAACCACCTCCAAACTGCTCAAGCTAAATTCCAGGAACAAGGAAGTACCTGAACCTAAATGGGTTGTCAACATATCTAACCACCCACTATCTACTGCCGAATCATCCAGAAAGGCCTCAACTATAGCATAGATGGTGCTAATCAGTTGGAATTCTTTACAGACATAGAACCAGCATTTAAAACCATAGGATTTGCTACAAGAAACCATAGGATTTGATCCAAGAAAAATGTAAGGCAGACAATCATAGCAAAGTCCAGAAAAACACAGAATCAGATCCAACTCAAAGCAAAGGACCCAAAATTTAAAGAAAGGCCAAAAAAAATCACCATCCTTCCAGCAGACAAAAGGCAAACCGCAGCTGTCATAGACAGAACAATATTAACAAATAGCCAAAGAAAATTGGAGGATAAAGAAACCTACATTCCAGTAATCATCAATTCAGTATGGAAACTAGACAATCTAATCAACAGAACCTGAGTTAGTTAGAAGGACTAAGAAAGGTCAAATCACAAAAGATGAACACTCATGGATAAAAACTGGTGGATACAACCTCCCACTCATCTATAGATTCCCCAAAATGTATAAACCTGACATATCTCTTTGTTCAATTGCATCATTACCAGGGACTACAACATACAACGTAATGAAAGAATTTACAAAAGAGCTTGGACATGTCACAGAGGGGAACAAATATTCTACCAACTCCCCACTACAGTGCCTCCAGAAAAATCAAAGACCTAAAAATAGAAGATGAAGTTAAGATTTCATTCAATGTCACTGCATTCTTTACATCCATAGATCCAGGCTAGTAAAAGGATTCATGGCAGAAATATTACACAGTACACCCAACCTTACTAAATACACTAAGATCAAAACATCCAGAATAATAAACCCCTCAATTTTACCTCACTATCAACTTTCAGTTTAATGGCCAAATAGACAAATAAATCAGAGGAAAACCCATAGATCACCATTTTTAGAATTCATAGTAGAGATTGTAATGCAGCATCTAAAAACTACAGCACTCCCACACATAAAACAAAAAGCATTGATCCAGCATGTAGATAACACCTTGTCATAACAAAAAAAAAACAATTAGAAAAGACACATGAAGCAATCAACAGCTTCTTCAAAGGAATAAAATTCACAAAGAAAGAAGAAGACAACACATTACCCTTCTGAATATCCTCAAGAGCAGAGGAAATGACAGCAAATTATAAACCCAAGTCTATTGAAACACAACCCATGCTAAGTAAATGCTCCATTACCTAAGTAATAACCCAACATTCCACAGGAGGAGCTGTGTAAGAACATTATTCAGATGAGTTTAAATCTACTGCAACAATCCAGAACATCCGAAAAAGAAAACAGATTGCTTATACAAATCTTCAAACAAAATGGATATACACACCAACTAAAGCCCTCCAAAATAACTTAAATAAATCAAAAGTAGTCCAAGAAAAAAAAAACAGGATTCACTTACAACATGCAATGTACAGATGGTAACAGTCACTGTGTATGACAGACAGGCAGAAGACTAGCACAGCACATGTATGAACACCAACCAACAGTCAAAGAACATGATGAAAACTCCTTAATCTCACAATAGGTGGACAGAATCAAGCATTGTTTCAACTTGTGCATTCTAAACTAAGCCAATTCTCCCCCCAAAAACCACTAGGGAAATCCTGGAAGTCTGACATGAAGCCGAATTACCCATCAATAGATACATAGAGATAAATCATATGTACACACCAGTGGTGAAATCTAAAATTTGTTACTACCGGTTCTGTGGGCGTTGTTTGGTGGTGGTGGGGGTAATGTGACAGTGGGCGTGGGCAATTTTTTTTTTTTTACTTTTAAAACCATTTTTTCTACAACCTCTTTGGCACTTTCAAAAGGCTCTGACCATCCCACTGAGTTGCCTGATCGGCAGAGGTTTTTTAAAAAGCCTCTTCCGATCAGGCAACTCAGCTTGGATCGTCAGAGGCATTTAAAAGAAAAAAATGGTTTTTTTTTTAAAAACCCTTTGACGATCCCAGCTGAGCCGCGCAATCATCAGAGGCTTTTTTTTTTTTACTTTTAAAAGCATTTTTTGGCCGAAGAGGTTGTAGAAAAAATTTTAATGAGACAAACCATCAATCAGAAAACAATACCCTGATCAAGGAACTGCCAAGTAGAAAACCACACCTCCACCAACACTGGCAGGGCAAACTACTGCATAGAAATACAGATCAAACCCCATGCTCACTAGCACTCGTGATGTTACATAGTTGGGTAATGTAACATTTGCAAGTGAACCCAGCTTAGAGACCATGAGTGATTCCTTTGTTGATATTGTTCACAAATTTGGTCTGCTAGATTTTCTATATTTCTCTGATTGTCGTTTATGCTTGTAAAAGTATAACTAGTGGAGTAACTCCACTAGTATGCATAAATCTTTGGCTCTGGTTGAGCTGCAGTTACAGAACAGGAGAGTCCTAGTATAAGAAATGGAAGGAAATATTTTATCAGGGCTAGCCTCCCTCCCTCTCCCTCTCCCTCTCCCCCCTCTCTCCCTCCCTCCCTCCCTCTATCCTCTCTCTCTCTACCTCCCTCTCTCTCCCTCCCTCCCTCCGTCTCTCCCTCCCTCCCTCCGTCTCTCCCCCTCTCTCTCTCTGAGGAGAGAGGGGAAACTTCAAGTCAACATTGATTTCTGGCAACTGCCAGATAAGTCCTTGCAGTGTTTTTTACCAAGATTTCAGAATGTCTTGCCATTGCTTCCTTCTTAGGGCTGAGAGAGAGTGACAGGCCCAAGATCACCCAACTAGCTTCATGTTTATGGCAAGCCTAGAAATCACGGTCCTTGCCTTAACCACTAGACCAGACTGACTCTCATACATGAGGCTGAAGAAAAGCTGAATTGAAGATCATGCTTAAGGATAAGTATAAAAACTGATTTCCTTGCCTCTTTATCCAAATCTTAATATATGAGTACTAATAACGTGCTGAAGTCTAACTTGATGCCTTTCTCTAGCTACAGAAATAAGAGCTTGTTAAGCTAAGACAGAAATTTGTTTTCTTGTCAGACTAGAGTTTATAGTTCTCAGAAATGACTATCCCAGAGTCATTTGAGCAAAAGCAGGAGGGCTTCGGATTTGGTAGGAGGGACAAAGCAATATAATAAAAGTATTGTCTATAGATTTTGAGGTTTCCCCCCCTTCATAGTCAACAAGGCTACTATTCTTTTTCATAACAATCAGGGTTATTTATCCCAAAGACAGGGAAGGCAATGCTCTGGAAAGATTTATTTGACATCTGGGAAAAATACTTTTGAAAGGAGTATAAAATACTTTCATTTATGAAATAAAATTTATTTTTAAAAACTGTGAATTATTTTCAAAGAAATGTTCATACTTTTAATTATTTTCTTGAACTTTGCTTATGATTGGCAGAAGCTGAAAGAAGTTGCGAAATGCTGGATTGGATTTTTTTTAAAAAAAAGCCAGCTGTCAAGACTACTTTTGGGAAAGACTATGAAATACTCTCAATTATCTTATGAAATTGAATGCATTAATAATGCAAATAATTTTCAGTCAAATGTGCCTAATTCTATTCTGACTGGCAGAAGCTGAAAGAGGTTTCAGCAATTTAGCGCTCATTAAAAACTGCAGGTGTGCTACTATAGGGCAAGAACAATTAAATCATTTAAGTGTTTTATTATCAGTGTGAAGTTGCAAGAGGAATTTGGGAGACCATTTTACCAATTTGCAAACAAAAAGACCAGATTTTTTTTTTTTAAAAAAAAAACTTATTTATAAAACATACTTGTGTAAGGGAATTTAAAAAGAAAAATCAAAACTTCAGCAGAACAAATAGCTTTCTTACAGCAAATTAAAAATAGCCTCCAATTTTAATGACTACTTCTTCAGGTTGGATGGTATGTTAAACAAAATAGAGCAAAACGAGAATGATGGCCAACGCCACAGCAGAAAAAACAAAAACAAAACTATTGGTCATGGCAATACTTGCACTGAATATCATTGAATATCGTTTCAAAATTTTAAAAAGGGTATGTGTGGGAGGGAGTGTTATTTCCTGGCCTATAATAAAGGAGGAAGGGAGGCTGTGTTCCAGACCTGGACTAAGGGACACCACCTCCCAAAATGTGACTGGACCATGCCTGGGGACTGTGACTTAAAAGACTTCCCGGAAGCCTATTCTAGAACAGATCTGAGCATTTTATGGACGCAGGGCCAAATCCAGCCCTTTCGCTGTCCCTGTTCAGGCTGTATGAGGTCAATCAGAAATTAGAAATCAAATGTAAATAGGTGTATGTCCTGCATGCACTATAACTGCATTTCTTTTATTTTGAAGGTGACTGCTATTTTTTTTTTCCAATTTACATATATTTGTGCATACACACCTTCACAGTCCTATTGGTTCAGCCCTCCACATCAGTCCCAGTTTCTCATGCGGCCCTTTGGAAAAATTAATTGCCCACCCCTGTACTAGAAGTAGAACTTTGGTAAGGGATTCGTTCCTATGAGTTTGCATTGTTGGAAACTAGCTGGATCACTTCGCTAACTTTGACAGACACTGTAGCTGAATTGAAGAAGGAAGCAACAGCTCTGCTTTGATGTTGTGCCATTACTGATCATGTAGGTGGGACTTACTTCAAAGGGGATTGTCTGCCTTCTCTCGCTGCGCTCTATAAGGCTGGCTTTAATTGCAGAGCGAGGGCTTCTTCAGGGCTCTTAGCATTCTCCTTTTAAAAATAAACTGCCATATCAAAGACGTCCATCCACTTTTATTGCTGAGGTAAGCAACCGCCAAAACTGAAGCCAACCCTTTTGTTTCCCCTAATTCTTTTCTTTTCTTTCTTTTTTTCAAACTGACCCTATATGAGAGTTGGTGTCAATGCTTTACAAAATCTGAAGAGAGATGAGAGTGATGAAGAGAGAAATCAAAGCCATAGTCAATCTCAAATGGTTGAGTAATCAGGGTGGGGTGCCTTTGATAAATCAAGACTCCTTCCAGTCACGCGAAATTCTTGGCGACTTTGGCATGTTTGTTTTGTTGACAACAGTACTGTTCAAGAATATTGCCATTGCCTTCTTCCAAAATGTTACAGTTATGGTTGTCTTGTTGACTCTTCCCTCTTGTCTTCACCCTGGCATTCCCTGATTCTCTCAGGCAAATAGGAATCAAAAAAATTGCTTGTTATGCCCCTGTGATGTTTTGCTGTCTTGGTTGACAGACTGGCTGGTTAATTATAGTGTCTCCTCTGGCTGGAAGTGGAAGGACAGAAACCTTGAGAGTTCTGATTGGCTGAGCGACTGATGGAGGCTGACCCAGTTGGCCACATGATCATGCTTCTCCAAAAGAGCAGAAGCACAATATGCTCTTATTTTGTGTTGGCTTAATCAGGAAAGATTGGCTCTATTTTTGGTATGGGAAAAACTAGTGTAAAACAACTTAAATCATAGGCTGTGGATTAGATGATGCAACTTCATGGGATTAAGGAAGAAACATGGAGCTGGCGAGGTGTTCCAAAGCCAAAGTAAACCACAGTGAGGAAAGGGCTTTACATAATTCACTGAAATGATACATTTTCTCTTTTTGGCAATCTAGGAGCAAGATACCCCTTGGACAAGTACCATTTTGGAATAATATGTGGGAGAGTGTGTGTTGTACACAGATTTTTTTCAGGGTCTGTTTTCAGCTGTGTTGCAGGTCTGGTTTTGGCACTCTATTTGTGTTTTGCACAAATTGTGAATTGGTGAATTAACCCCTGCCAAAATTACAGATGAAATGCATCCTTACTGGTTGTCTCCAAGCTTTCACACTGCCACTACAACATCGTTCTAAATAATGGCCTCAAGTCACATGTCTCTGGATAAACTGAAAAAATTAATGGGAACTAGAAGATTCCACTTTGCCAAGTAAATTTCTTACTAACAAATAAAAACTTAAAATGTACCCACACTGGGGCATTGTCGAAACACAATCAACATTAACAAGTAAAATCTAGCAAAATTACAAGGAGGCAATAAAATGAATATACACCATGATCAAGTTTCAATAGACACTTACAGAAGTATCAGATCCTAAACTTGAAAACCCTTCTCATCTCTCTTGGCAAGTAGGACTTGCCACAAAACAGTTTTTCTTAACGTGTCAGATGACACGATGAAAAGATGGAGGCAGCGATGTTTGCAGGGGGACTCAACACTGGCAACATGGCAGATGGAGCATTACAATGCAAGTTTAGTTCCTTCAGAATCTGTCTGTGTGTGACATCAAAGCAGGTACAAAAGGGGCGTGGCTTGCGTTGGGATGCTCATTCCATCATCTGTGACTCATCCTCTGCAGATGCTGTTGGGTGAAGAGGAGCAAGTTCATAGATCTTCTGGTAAAGCAGCCTTTGTGACAAGCCATGTCCACTCTAGCTGCTCCATGACAATGGTCCAAATCTGTCCATTAATTCAACAGGATCCCCTATTCTTTTGCTCCTATTTTATCACACTAAAATCAGAAGGGGTCGACATCTTAAACTTTCCAGAGAAGCCTACAGGGATGGGAATTAGTTTAGTCAAACCCTGATGTCTGTATTTTTAATAGGCTATTAAATCAGAATTAAAAATGACTACCAAGAAGAAACAGATTGATGTCTGATATCTTTCTGGTATTTTACCACCCATGTTTCTTTACATCTGAATCTGCTTGCCTGCTCTCCTAATTCCAAATGAACTTTCATCTCTTGTATAATGATATATTGAAAGACGTGCTGACAGGGCTCCTCTCACATTTTCCTTTTTAAAAGGCTGCCAGATCATAGATTCACAACTTCAAGTCACAGTAGACTATTGTCAATTTACTTGCCTTTTGGTAATTTAATCTTACCTCAACTTCTATCATTCTGGCTTGCCTTGTTATTTTTTTTTTTTTTCAAAAATGCAACAAGGTTTAGAAGGTGTATAGAGTCATTCCAAAAGCTGTTTGATTTTCTAAAATATAGATCAAATGCAATTTCCCTTGTCACTGAACAAAATATTGTGACATGAATTTGCTGTAAGTGCTGTAATTATAATATGGTTAGTGTTCTGGAGAGACAGACTTAGGAGTGGTCTTTGAAAACTTCACATGTTGCTATGAAAGATGTCTCCTAACTGAATCCAACAACCTTCCCCTGAAACAACACTTAATATAAAAAAGATTAAGTCTCCTTTGAGTTGAGTACAACTCTTCATATTTCATATCCATGTACTTTTCTTGGCGATATTCCAGTAGGATTTACTACTGCCTTCTTTTGGAATTGTTTTTCAGTTTCCTGGTTTAGACTTCAGTTCTAGGATTCTTGGGGGTCTTGTTACTAATGGTATATTAGTGAGGTCTAACCCTTCTTAGCTTTTAAAGATCCACCAAAGGCAGCATGGTGTTGCCTTCTATTAGAACATCTTTTGTTGTATCTTTTGTTTGACCAAGTCGTATTAGTAGTAGGTATGACACAGCTTTTTTTAACTTGGAACTTTCCAGATGCATAGAATTACATATCCTATCATCCACAGCCAGCATGTCCAATGGGTGTGTCACTAGGGATGATGTGCATTGGAATCCAACACATCAAGAAGTCTTCAAACTTGAGAAAACTGGACCTACACCAGTGGTGGGTTTCAAAAATTTTTACTACCAGTTCTGTGGGCATGGCTTGGTGGGCATGGCTTGGTGGCCATGGCACGGGAAGGATACTGCAAAATCTCCATTCCCTCCCCAATTCAGGGGAAGATTACTGCAAAATCCCCATTTCCTCCCGATCAGCTGGGACTTGGGAAGCAGAGAATAGATGGGGGCGAGGCCACTCAGAATTTTTACTACCGGTTCTCCAAACTACTCAAAATTTCCGCTACCAGTTCTCCAGGACTGGTCAGAACCTGCTGAAACCCACCTCTGACCTACACCTATCCTAATGAATCTCACTGTAAGTAGAGATGTGGCAATTCGAGAGCTTCTCAGTGAGACGTTTCCTGTGCAGTCCCATTCAATAAACTTTGTGAGAATTCAGACAACGTCATCTCCACTTGGAACCATCCTATATCACCTCACTAGACCTGTTACTTCTTTTTAAAAAAACCAGAAAATGTCATCAAGGAGGAGAAAGTAGAATCACAACAACATCATCTTTTAGATGGTGTTGGGAATCCTCCATGGTAACTGACCAGGAAACCAGAAACAATCCTCTAAAGTATAGGTGGAAGACTGGTGGCCTTTCAGAGAATGCTGAACACCATCTCCCAGCATCCCTCACCATTGGCCAAACTAGCTAGTGCTGCTGGGAACTGTATTTCAGCAATATCTGGAAGACCACATGTTTCCTATTCTTTCTGTGCTTGTGGTCCCAACATTAGGCACATCCAAAGAATATAGGGAGCTGGGGAGGTAAGCAAACACATTCAAAGGGAAACCATGAGTCCAGGAGGCAAAACGTGTTTTCTTTTTAGCAGTGGTCTTCATATCCCTATTTCTGACTAAGTTCTTGTTTGAGAGCAAAGAAATCAGCCCATCAGATAGAAACAATCAATGACATACAGGACGGCATTTCCTAAAATGAGACAGTGGGCTAGATCTGAAGGACTGATTAATTTAGCTCTGCCTACGTAAAGCGACGTTTCTAAACAATTGTACATTTGTGCAAATAAATATGCACTTGCTTTTAAAAGTTGGCAGGGGATCTAGATTTATTCCCTCAAGGTAGTGCTTCCCAGCAGTCAAATTACAATATTTGGCTGCTGAGCAGATGGTGGTTTTCTGCCAACGGGTACAATTGGTATTGCCATGACTATTGTGTGGACCTGGAGCTTTGAGATTGCCAAGTACGAAATGATACGCACACACGCACTTTTGAATTTTTTTTTTTAAGCATTCACACAGCATCATGTTGAGGATGGAGACTAGCCTGTCCACTGAGCACCCAGATCCAACAGGAGCTAGTGGTGAAAGGAACTGGATTTAAGCTGGGCAAAATTTACTCAGCCACCTGCCAAAATAAACTTTTCCGGAAAATTAGCACTGGCTATATCTCAGGCTTTTTTAAAGTCACAACTCATATGGTATATTTTCTCATGTCTTCCTCTGCATAATTAATATAGGGATGGTTGGCACTTAAGAATTAGTCAGAGTGTACAATAAGAGCTGCACAGATATGCAAAAAATTTTACAGGGTCTAATGGGGGGCCAGGATACATATGGTGTGTTGATTAGGGCACTGATCTAGAATTAGGGGTATCCAAATTCAAATCCACATTTAGCTATGGAAACTCACTGGACGACTTTGACCAATTTCTTATCCCATCTGTTTTCCTGGGATTTGCAGTGAAGATATTGTAAAATTAAACAGAGATATTTAGGTATACCAACTGATTATCTGAAGGCAAAGTGGGATAGTAAAGTAACAAGTGAGTAAATGATTACAAACTCAGTTAGGAAGTGTAACATCGACCATATCTAGTCAAGATACCACCAACAATCATCAAGAGTGTGTTAAGAAACGATTAAAGCAAAATTAAAAGGGCTTTTCAGCAAATAGAATTTTGCTCCAAGGAAAACACCCCCCCCCCCCAAAAAAGGAACATAAACATGCATGAAAGAAATCCATAAAGTATGCCAAAAAATTTTGAGGTGCATATTACTAAAAAGAATATTATATACAACTGACAACTTTAAAACTTTATATGCACACAAGCAGGAAACTGGGTAGGGAGGACTATCAGATGTCAAAGGAATTATAGCAGTAGTAAAGGGGAAGTAGATTGCAAAGAAGCCGAATGAATTTATTTATGTCTGATTTTGCTTCAGAGGCTGTAGAACAGATATTGATGTCTGAACTGATATTTTCAGTAAAGGAGCTTGAAACATTGAGACAAATATTATTGAGATAGAATTCTAGTCCTTTCTGGCAAATTAAAAACAATGAAATCATATTGGGTTCAATTATAAACAAGCAATTGTGAATTTGCTAATTGTTTAACAACGATCAAAAAGATAGAGAGTGTGAATATTGTTGGAGAAGATTTCACAGCTTCTGCACAATTACAGAGTTCTTTAAGCGTGCCAGTAAGTACGTACATAGGTGCGATGTGGTGCACACTGTTAACATGGACTTCAGGGTAATGGCTTTTATTTAGGAGTGTTGAGAAACTTAGCAGTGATGGAATAAGTGAAGATCCTCATAGAGATCAGCAACTGGCAAAGAACAGAAGGCACAAATAAGAATAAATAGAATTTTTGCAAATATGTACATTCCAGAAAATTCTGTATGAGAACCAATGCGTTTAAATTATTTGTGAAGCTGGGCAACTGTACGTTGACTCCAGATTAGTTGGAGACAAAACAAAAAAGGGACAACCAAGAGCTCCCAAGTAGTTATTGCTGTTCTATGTAAGAAAATAATAGATGAATCACATTTGGCCAAAATATATTGTATTTCCAGCTATATGGATCCAATGACTGACCAGAAATGTATTCTTGGTTCAGCTGAATAGCACAATGAAAATGTATTCTTATGTGCAGCCCCTGTTGCCGGGAAGTCATCTGATACAACCATCTCTGAGGACCTTCACATGATCGAGAAAGCCATTCTAAACTGCAGGACACAGAATAACTACCAAACTATATGAGCCTTTTGACAGTGGGACCAATTGCCCAGAGAACTGGGGGGCTCCTCTTCAGCTCAAATGCTCACCTAAAAACTAGACAGCTGTATAATGAGGATCAGAAGTGGGTTCTAAATTTTTTTACTACCAGTTCTGTGGGCATGGCTTATTTTGTGGACGTGGCTTGGTAGGAGTAATGTGATTGGGTGGGCGTGGCCAACTTTTTTTTTTTTTACTTTTAAAAGCATTTTTTCTACAACCTTAAGAGGTTGTAGAAAAAATGCTTTTAAAAGCCTCTGATGATCCCAGCTGTGCCGCGTGATCATCAGAGCCTTTTTTTTTACTTTTAAAAGCATTTTTTCTGCTGAAGAGGTTGTAGTAAAAATGCTTTTAAAAGTAAAAAAAAAAAAGCCTCTGATGAGGTGGGCGGGGTAAGTGAGTGGTGACCGGGCCGGGGACCGGTTCAGGTCATGGCCAGCCAATGTTATTACCGGTTCTCCGAACTACTACAAATTTTTACTACCGGTTCTTGCGAACCGGTGTGAACCAGGAGCAACTCACCACTGATGAGGATGCTTCAAATCAGATGTTTGCATTGAGCAGGAACTTTGGTGATTTTTATATACTACTTAGTTAAGCTATAGAATTAATTACTACCAAATCTAGTGCTGAGGCAGTTTGGACAAATTTTAAACGTTTATGACTAATCATGATTGCTGTACAACATCTCCAGTACTGGAGGTGACAGCATTTACTGGAACAAGAAGGAGGATGCTATTCTGCTCATGTCTTATCCTGAGTTTTCTATTGATATCTAACCTATAGTAATTGATTGTTGGTTAGCCTTTGGCCTAAACCATCATGGGTCTTCCTTCATCCCTTACATCCAGATACTTGTTGAAATCCTTTCTTTTAAAAACTATAAACATAAATCAATTTTTATTTGAATGTACCTACTAACATGCATACTACTCATTGCTATCCATAGGATATGCATGCATTTGCAGAAAATCCTTCTCAAAGCCAGTAAAAGCAAAATTTATCTCATTCTGTTAGGAGTACTTCTTGCCTTTGAGATTACCACATCATCTCTCTCTGACTTCTGTAGGTTGTGCAAGTAAGCTGTCAGTTCCTGGACATCATCAGTATCTCTAGGTTGAAGCAAACAGAAACAAGATGTTTATATGAGATCATTCAATGATAAACAATTCTATCACTTGTCTATAGAGATTCTCAGTCATCTAGGTATGGTTGCCTCAAAGGTGCTTTTTCAAGTGTCATCTGGACTTTGTTTTCCCTCGAAGATCTTTCGCTTCTCATCGAAGAAGCTTCTTCAGTTCAGTGAAGTGAACTGAAGTGAAGTTTCTTCAGAGAACTGAAGAACCTTCTTGGATGAGAAGCAAAACAAAGTTGAAAAAGGGTGAAAAACAAAGTTGAGTTGCCTTTTGAAAAAGCACCTTTGGGACAATTCTATCACTTGTAAATGGGGAATTTACAAGTGATAGAATTGTTCCAGTGGTGGGTTTCAATTTTTTTTACTACCAGTTCTATAGGTGTGGCTTGGTGGGCGTGGCATGGCTTGGTGTGCATGGCTTGGTGGGCGTGGCAAGGGAAGGTTACTGCAAAATCCTCTCAATCAGCTAGAACTCTGGAGGCAGAGAATAGATGGGGGCGGGGCCAGTCAGAATTTTTACTACTGGTTCTCCAAACTACTCAAAATTTCCACTCCCAATTCTCTAGAACTGGTCAGAACCTACTGAAACCCACCTCTGAATTGTTCCAAAAGTGCTTTTTTATTTATTCATTTATTATATATACCCTATGTTTTACCCTCATCTTTTTCTCTCTCCCTTTTTTTTTTCTTGTTTAATTATTTTTACTTTGAAATGTTTGATACTTTTTGGGTATGAACTATGACCTGAGAATTAAAACATTCTGTTCATTATTTAAAGACCTCAGAGCCCCTTTGGACTTTAAGGTGTACCAGCCAACATTAAGCTGTGGTCAGACTGAAGAGAAAAGCAAACTTTGTTTGCATTATAGGAGACATAATCCCCTGTCCTAGCTAATTCGAGACATGCTCTATGCTAACTCAGCCTCCAATGAAAATCATCCCTTGAGAGAAAGAGAGGCATCGTCCTTTGAAGAGAGTGGGGAAAGTGAATTGGGTCTTCTATATTTTACTCTTTAATTAAAACTTGGCATTTGACCATTGGTATTATGAAGAGTATGTAATCATCGTCCCTTTGGGGGGGAGGGGAAACTAGAGCTAAATGGCAAGACCCATAAGACAAAGCCTTGTTTCTGAAATTTAAATTCCTCTGTAGTGACATAGTAAGAGTTTGCAACTAGGTGATGACATCTGCCTGGAATCTAACTATTATGAATTACTACTCAGTTTTATGAAAATGGGGAGTCAGGAGGGCTGCAAATATTAAAAGCACCCCAAAATTTATTTCTATTTTTTTATGAATTGTTTGTACTTGCAGGATGTTTAATCGCCTACCGATCACACTAATTGCTACAGCCGTGCTGTTGTGTGCAGCAACTCTGCCCATGCTCAGAAGCAAATTCTGCTGTCTGCAAAGGTATGTGTTTCATAATAACGGTAAACAGGATTTCCTCCCAGAAAGCCATTAACCATAATCAAGAATCTCTTGTATGAATTGGTATGAAATGATGGTAAAAGATATAGCGCTAAAGCTTCTACATCAAGATGTCACCATCATTTGTAAGGAAATGAGAGGCAGAAGCTGGCTAAACTCTTTCTCCTCCTACAGGGCACAAAATGCTTCTCAGTCCATGGAAAAGACCTCTTTTCAAATGTCTATGCGCTTGAATGAGGTAGTGCAGCTACTTGCCACTGAATTTCATTGGAGAAAAAAATAAACATTTCCCAAATTTAGAAATGTTTATATGTCTGTCTTACATAGCACCTACTCAGGTTCCGCTGCAATAATTTTCCTATTTTCCAGCACTAAGTACAATTTGCTTTTCTCTTTTACGTAATGCTTATGAGAGATGAAAATTATCTCTTTCCAACTCCATTAGCCACTTAGGTTGGTTTGCACCAGTGGTGAAATCCAAATTTTTTTACTGCTGGTTCTGTGGGTGTGGCTTGGTGGGCATGATGTGGCTTGGTGGGCATGGTGGGGTGGGCATGGCAGGAGAAGGATACTGAAAAATCTCCATTCCCACCCCACTCCAGGGGAAGGATACTGCAAAATCCCCATTCCCTCCCCACTCCTGGGGGAAGGAAATTGCAAAATCTCCATTCCCATCCCACTCCTGGGGAAGGATATTGAAAAATCTCCATTCCCACCCACTCTGAGGCCAGCCAGAGGTGGTATTTGCCGGTTCTGAACTACTCAAAATTTCCGCTACCAGTTCTCCAGAACCTATCAGAACCTGCTGGATTTCACCCCTGGTTTGCACCTAATTTAATCACACTGATTGAACTTTAAAAAGACACCAGTGAGAAGCATACAAGCTAGAGCCCATGAAGCATCTGTACAACTCATTTTATTTCAAAAGAATGTAACTGCTACTAAGAGTTATTTCATTTTCCTTGCTTTTGTTTTAACCCTTCCTTTTTGGCTCAGAAAAAGGCCCCCAAGGCAGCCCACAATTTCAAGTTTGTTTTTTTTAAAAAAAAAAAAACAGAGGTATCAAAATACAAATTAAAAACTGAACAAATTTAAATGTTAGTAACTAAAATGCCTTTTTCAAAAGGTAACCAGCTCAGATATGCAGCTGGGTAGTAATTATTAAATTAGCTACAAAAGCCTCCAGCCAACCAACTCCAATGCCTTCAGCATGTTGGCATTTACGGTTGGAGGTATTTGTGTGGTGCAGATGTATTTGGGGTAATCAGTAATCCTCTCAGCCAACTTTTCTCATTCAGCGGTGTATTCCTAAAAAGCAGGGTGCTAGATCTATCTGGAAGCAAGGTTACACAAGCGCGACATTCCAGAATTGAGAAATCAGCAGAGTGTGGCACAATGACGGTTCAAGCGAAACAAGGCAGACTAGCTTCCAACTGTATTCCTCATCACGCCTGTCAACATGGCAGGATCAGGAATAGCGACGTAGCCTGTTTCAGGTGCCATGCATTGTGCAAAGTCATATTTATTTCTTCATTTGCTCAACCCCCCCCCCCAACAGCAGCCACAAGGCTTTTTTTAAAGCAATATTTTATTTATTTATCTCCAAAGTGAAAATTCAAAATAGAAAGAAAAGAAAGGGGAAAAAACCCAAACATCAACTACAAACAGAGCAACCAAACAATAGTACTAAAAAAAACATGTACAAAAAATAACAAATGACTAACATATCATTAACATGAAACTTAAAGTGTCCACCCTGGTTGAATGCTGAAAAATATATCAGAAATATCTGGTATGTTCACCTCCACTTACATAACAGGTCTACAAATAATTATAAATTTCCCATTCTGTATTTAATTAAAAAAATCCTATGTTTATGTTACACAGAAAGATATCACCAATATTGAAATCTGTTTATTTATCAATCAAGTCAACCCGCCATCTATTCATTATATATAAAAAAGCAGTTATGCTTTTTGTTTATACTAAGTACTGGAAAGAAAAGGAGACACTAATTGTTGAAGAATGGACTTTAAAATTGATTGAACTGGCAGAGATGGCGAAATTAACATCATTGATTAGAGACAATGGTTTACGGTAGATAAGTTTATAGGAGAGTGGAAGCCATTTGTGGATTTCTGCGTGTTAAATACAATAATAGAAGGTTAACAGAGGGCTTCAAAGATTAGTTATACTTTTGGGGTTACCTGTTGAACAGCAAGATGACTTCTGTAGCTCAAGCTCTAATGGACATTAGGAACTGGAGACATTAAATGAGACATTAGAGACTGCAGTATTACTTGATACTGTGGGACCAGTCTTCACTAAAACCATAATACCAAAGAATACAAAATTCTGTGTGGGGATAATTGTTTCTTATAGGCTATCATAGGTAATCAGAGATTCAGAGAGATCTTCCAGTGGCCTTTGCAATAGATTCAGTGTCTCTTACTATGTTATATTCAGAAAGTGAGCCCTAGTGAATTTTGAAAGCAAGTCCAGGTTTTAAGAATTGTCACTTGAGAAACATTATTAAGAATATGGAATAAATATAAACCCACACGGTGACCAAAAATATCATTATTGACACAAAAAGCTTTCTACAGAAGACAGACAGCAGATCAAGAACGTATAAGGATTGATTAATATAAAATAAGGAATACATTAAGAGGAAGAGGAAGAGGAAAGCACAATTAGCAACAAAAGGACATGATTTGCAATTGTTTTCTTATAGTCAGAAGAAACACAGGTTTAAAATGGACAAAACACAATTTGGAATTGAAAAGAGGCAAAATGAATTTGAAATAGAGTTATGTTTAAATGATAGTCATATGACTGCTCAAATGTATTAATTGCTACTAAGGTTTGAAACAGACGGTGAACAGGGTAAAGACTATATTGTATACGGGCTGCACTGCAGACTTTGGTTATAACATAAATATGGATATATGGGAGAAAATGTGGATAACTAATGTTAAATTTACACTGTTTACAGAATTTTTATAAAATGATGTACCAATGATATACGACACTTGCTAAACTGCATAAAATGTATAAGGGAATACCAAAGCAGTGTTGGAAGTGTGAAAATAAAGAAGGAAGTTTTTATCATACATCGTGGACTTGTGAGAAAGCACAAGTACAAATCCATACAGTGATATAAAAGATACTGCGGACTAACATCATGATGATACCACAATTTTTCTTATTGGGTTGTATGGGCATGGAATCAAAAAAGAAACATAGGAAATTAATACTGTGTATCGGAACTGCAGCAAAAAGTGTCTCCATGTTCTTTGATTGATCATTTGCTTTATCCTACTGCAGAAGTGGGAAGCTACAGTATTCCAGAATTTGTTCATTTCACTTCTCAGCACAGTCCAAATCAGCACAACAGTGGTGAGAAGTTCAGGAAATGGGCATGTATGTTTGCTTTAAAATTTTGCTGTTTTGCTCCTCATGATCAGTTGCAGTAATCATCTCCAGATCTATTTTCCCCATTTTTTTAAAAAAAAAGAAATCTAGTAATCAGTTATATTCTCAAC